TACACCACGCCTCCCGGCATTGCACAATACACCGACTGGAGTAAGATTTCGCATATCGGTTAATGATCGATCGAATAATTATTATCAAATGTTGGACATTGATTTAAAAAATGTTTATCTAGATAATTTATTTACGCAGGCACTTATGACTAAACACCTCAGGATCATTGAGAGTCGAAATCAAAGCTAATTTTGTGCTTTTATCAAGTAATAAAACTCTTTCTAACCGATTGGATTAAAGGGTGACTACTTGAATGAGTCTAATGGTTTAATCGATATACGCGAAAATTGTCAACCTATTCATACAATTAAGAGAATGTTATTCAATGTTTTGAAGTCCCCGATTCCGCAAATGATCGAGGTAATTGAAGTTCATCTATACAGCCCTATAACCCCATTTATGCGAACTAAGTTTGTAAGAACACCAGTCCTTCTATGGTCATGAACTCATAATCGCATGAGGTAAGCCCATCACGCACGCACACATACACACGGAAACATTCAAACATTGTACATATCAATTCTCACAGTCCAGCCGCTCCGGTACAATTTTTCAAACTTTTTCCAATTATATCTCTCCTCATAATAAAAATTATGTATATTCCTAATCAATGAAGCACTGAAAATAAGCTTATTATTCAACTTCTATCCTCATATTTCCTTCTAATTAAATACAAAATACGCAAAGGATTGCTAGGAGGAGAGGTGCTGCTGTCCAAAGGCTGACTGGGAACACACGGAAGTGAGAAAGTTTCATGCTGAATTGTGAAACTCACACAGAAACGCATCAGTACCGGTGTTTTTTACCAGTGCGCAGCGCAGCGCAAGACAGCAACACAAACCACACTCCTCCTGGAGCACGTTACCGCTTACACGTTAATTAGGAATGGTCGACAAAAATGGACATTGATTGAATCTAATATTAGAGCTGACTTATTACCATCACCAACCAGCAATCAAGGCGATGCAACGCTGGGCGTTCTTGATCAGTAGTTTACATTCTACTTGTTATTTAACATGCATATGTGCAAGTTATAAACAAATCTGCTTTGCGCTTCACAAAAACTATGATTGGATTCCACATCCTGCGCCGAATATAAGCCATCAGGGTTGGCCCCCGGAGGCGGTCTCGAACCAACATCTTCAGTGTGTACTTGTGAATTGCTTCAGAAAACAGCCTTGTTGAAATAGCAGTAAATTTATCTGTTGAATTTCCAGAATTAGATGTTGCGTCAGAAAGATGACAGAATATGTCAGAGACAGATTATTATGTATTTAAATGCATATTGTCTCCAGTTTGTTTGCACTGATATTCTGGAGTAATAAATCGACGCCAGAGCAGACACACAGACACATGACTGGAATGGGGGAGGTNNGGAGGTTAGTCGAGACCTACCTGTTGTTATTGTTGATGATTATGTTACATGCATCTCCGCTGATCGGGTGCATCCATCATGTGGCTCAGATACCGCATCAAAAATATCTCTCGTGGATCTAAAACACACAAACACACCTTTCATCAGACATTCAGACAAGCATCAACTAGCATTTATAGACTGTCAACCGTTTCTTTGTTAAGAAAAACATTTCTCTCTGTCAACTAGACTACGTTATCAAATGTAGAATATAACGAATAGTTCGGAAACGAATGAAATATGGAAATCACTATGCGAGGTACTCGTATATGTCAATGATGAGTCCCTTGAAGTGGTCCACCGTTTGAGCCTTCTCTCTTAGATTACACAAGGTTCAGTCTATTATTCGGAGACGACGAATACGCCTTTCTGGGAGTTGTCCAATGGCGATTTTGCTTCAAAGAGTACTGGTGTATGCTTCGATTTGGCCGTCAGTTTTTACGAATCTATCCGGTTACGTGAAGCGTTAACTGTGTGATGCTTCTACCAGTTTATTCCAGTTATTCGCTAAACTGCACGTCAGTAACTCGAAATATTTAACTCATATATTTCCCGTAATAACTGCATCAGTGTTAAAACATGCAACATTTCTGGAGTCGCTCGTTTTAAATGTAGCAAGCAGTTTTCAGCAATTTTATCTCAGGGGATCGATTGTACTCATGTTGTTCTGACATGAATTGCCGATAGGCAACTGTGTTATGCGCTAAAACTTTCACAATACGCATTTTCAATCATGAGTGTCTAGACACTGTTGCTATCCTGGTCTGAACAGCGCAATAATTGTGCATAAAATAGAGCATCAGCTCTCCTTCCCACACACCGGCCCCCACCCACGATTATTTACTAAAATCTTAACATTTATTTTTGTCTACACTATCCCTTCCCGATTACATCACATCCCAAGCATTATATAGGAATTTTAGCGTAGCGTACGAAACGCTTTCCCACTCTGTCGCCTTAGCTCAAAACTTTCAAAATCATTTTGATCAGCAAATCTACCTATCAATAATTCATTTGTCCTTTGTTCTCTCAACCAATCCACGAGTCAAACACTGACTGCCGTTAGTCTTGCCACCTTCGGTTGCTCCGTTTTCTGATCCGTTTTATCGTTATAAACTGAGCTGTAATCGGGCATTAAGGTATCTGTATTATAATATCCGTTTATATATGTAACCGCTTGTAGCAATATTGTATTATATTGTAATAACTTCTGTAGGCATAAAGCCTACATTTTAGCTAAAAATATACAGGTTGGAGTGAGGGAGAAAATAAAAAATAATAGTGAAAAAAGGGATTTAAATTCCAAAACTGTTAACAAATTCTGTGAAAAACCGCTCTTCAATAACTAGAATACGTGCTAATGAGAGCACTGTAGAGTTACGATATATGTTTATTCCAGAGGGAATACAACGATACTGGGATCTAGTTGAAGGATGAGAACCACAGGAAGTTAGATCTGCGTGTAGCGGATGTGTGGAGTCGATAAGAATCTCATGTGCAAACTTTTCACATGCATTCAAATGACGTTTGCAAAAGTTAGTTATCAATGCCTCCAGCTGGATTGAAGGGACACGGCTGATAATGGTCAGCCCACGAAAAGAAAGTTCTTCACGAACACTGTTTTCGACATTGTCTATTGGAATATTCTAGAAAATTTGCCCTCAAAATCCATCATAATCCATGATAAGCTCGAGGGATTCTGTTTTCATTCTACATTTCATATGTGCTTCGAATTGAGGCTGGGGTAAGATACACCCACTAACCAGGAGAAAAGCAGATGAGCAGGCCACCAGGACGATTCACAGGTTGTTGATGGATGGCTACGTTTGGTCAAGGGGGCTGACTGAGAAAAAGTGGTGGCTTACTACTATAAGTAAAGTACTTACTGCTAACGAGTCCCAAACAGGACGAAACACACAAAACATCATCAACAGAGCCTGGTGCCTGTGAAAAACCGAATGGACTAATAGAAACATTCACCAATATAAAGTGTACTTTAGTGAATGACCTCTAGGAAATTGACCGGATATTTGCTCAACTATGAGTGTCTTGCGTCTGTCTATTTGTGTTTTCGTGCAGTCATTCAATTGGGCAAGGCTTGCTAATCAACCAAAGACGAATGTCATACCAGTACACTGAATGAAAAGCTATGGCAACTTCGAAAATTTGTTGAGTTCGTTTCGTTCTCTACATTTTTTCCAAATTTAGTTAACTCACCGTTCGTTTTGGAATACACGATTTATTTTTACTTGGTTGAGCAGTATAACTATAAAGTGAGTACTGGAGGATTTGGTTCAATTTCAAATGGGAATTCGTCGTGTATATAGCAAATGAAGCACGAGCTGAAAAGCTAGGAAGCACTGGACGGCTGCTTCGACCTGTTTGGGTCTCATCAGCAGTGGGAATCGGTCCACACAACTGAGGATCAAACCCGGGACCTCACAGGAAGAACGCAAGCGTGCTACCTACTCGGCGGATGAATTCGCACTGCTGACGAGACCCAAACAGGTCGAAACAGCTGTCCAGTGCTTCCTAGCTTTTCAGTACAACTACCAGTCACATCAATAAACGGGCTTGTTTAGGTGACATCAGACCGGTAGGTTTTGTTTCTTATACCTTAGGCGTATTGGACATATATGGTCCGCCATTAGAGAACGCGAGCGAAGGCTGATAAGATGCCTACTTCCATCCGAACTAAATAACTGAGTGATTACAAAGTACAAACAACACTCATAACCGAAACCTGTCGTAACTGTCCCTTCTCTAACGCCTTTGCTACACCACATACCAAGATTCGGATGAATTATCAAGCCTAGCGTCGTTTCGTCCTCTCGTAGCATGTAAGTTCAGTTTAAAAAAGGCCACTGTACTACCCTAGTTTTTGACCGGGGGTGAACAACCTGTTATCTTTCTCATTCCGTAGTGCAACGGCATGAGCTCCACGTAGGCATTGTACCAGCCGGCGAGCTACATAGATACCATACCATACTATCGAAAATGTGTCCAAAATTGTCGGGGCAACAATCGAAGTGGTTCACTTTGACAAGTCCGGTGATGGAGTGGTTTGGCCCTTTGTACCGTATCAGATACTGTCCACATAGTAGTAGAGCAAGTCAAATTGATACAAGGACATCTTATGGGGACATTTTCAATCAAAAAATGCACACAATAATTCTACGTAAAACGAACACTTTGTGGCATTTGCCGGGTATTCCGATGTCGAAATGCATAATAATAATAAAAAACAAACTCCATAAAGAACTTCCATTGTGAGAGCTGCTCTTATTTTACGGACGTTGCTGGCAATGACAGTAACACGTGGTTCAATAGAATGTGTAATACCACGTAGCGATCGTAACAATGACCAAACAGTGATCCGCGTGTGTTCAACAACAGACGAGATTATCTATTACCGGATGAGCACGTATTTTCGAATCATCCCAGTTTTCTAACTGTTTGTTTACTGATCATCCATCCTCAATTCTGGACAGAAAACTATCAATCTTGCCAGTGTCTACACAGAATATCCCCCAACCCTGTATGTAAGCGGCACAGAACCCCTGACTGAAATGCCATTGTGATTCGTCAGGCACGTGGCAACTGTTTCACCATCTGTGACACATTCAGAGCATCATCATAGTGAAACGTGGAACTGATTTCGAGGCACTCACTGACAGTTGAGGTTGCCGAATGCTGACATCCGATTTTGATGTGTGTAACTGGGGGAAAACTATGCAAGAAAGAAAATAACTGGAGTTCACCGTGTGTTCTGTGAATTTTACGACTAGGTGATTAGGGATTCATTCATACCTTCTTCCAGATTGACACAATCCAGCTTAGATGAACGTGATCGAGAGTGAACGATATCAGTCATATCAAGCTACTTGCCCCGTATCTGTCTGTCTCCGTAACTAAGGTTAACTCCAAAAATTGAGCATTTCACGATATTTCCCGCACAGTCCAATATTCATTCGACTTGTCAGGCAGTAGCCGTTGAAAGCTCGCCGCAATTTGGATTATTTGCTTCTTAACACGTTTGATACCGGTTCAATCGAGCGTTCGATCGTTCGATTGCTAACACAACAGTACGCTTGAGTATGTGCGTATGTGAGTGCATGTTTGTGTGTATCAAGTGCATACCCCTCTCTTTCCAACCAATCACTCCCACCCCACGTCCAGTCTCAACTGCGTCAACACAAACAGCAATTTCCACCTACCTGGGGTGCTAATACTGTGCGGAGTGGAAACGGTTGCCGGTTTGGGTGCAGTGAATGGCGGCACCCGCATGACTACTGTTGGACTGATGTTGTTGTTCGTCTGTGCACCGGTCACAGTCGGACCGTTCTGGGTCACGCCAGTTGTATTGTTCGTTACTGTGGCCATACCGGTACTGGAGCTCGCCCCGGTAGGCTTGGCCACAGAACTGCCATGTACCTCGGATTGCGAAAGCCGTGTTCCAGTTGGTGGTGTGGGGGACGGGGTGGTTTTCCACAGTGATGTTCTGGCCGGTTCGACGGAACCCAACTGTTTCGGTTTGTTGGTTGAGACGTTTGTTTGTGTCCTCGCATTGTTGTTGTCTTGTGACGATCCATTAGTTACAGGAGCAGATGCCACAATGGAATTAGTCCCCACACCCGAAGGGGGAGGAGGGGCCGGTCCCGGTGGTGGTGTGTCATCATCGATGTGCGGTGTGATGGCATAGTTTCCAACCAGAATGGTCGAACTGGGTTGTTTTTGGTTCACCTGATTGGATGATTGTATACGCGGTACAGACGCGGGTCGAGTGACTATTGGCGGTGCTTCGCTTTCATTCGAGGACGTAGTAACCTCATTCGGTCGTGGACTGCGAGCCGAACGGGGTTCATGACTATGATCCCGTGTCAAACCGTTGGATTCTTTGGCTTTGGCTCGAACTGGCAGTGGGAGTACGTTTACTGCACCGGGGAGACGGGCCGCTTTTCGAGGTGGCCGTGGCAGGTTGTCATACAGATTTGCTGGACTCGTGGGCGAGTCAGCAGGTGACTTGGTCTGGAAGTTTATTAAAAACGGGAGAATGAACAAGCGCTATATGCAGTATACAAAAAAACCGTAATAACAAAAGTTCATCATGAATTATATATGTGCAGACCGTTCAACTAGAAAAGTTTCCGCAGTTTGCAGTTGAATCGAAATGAATAGTTCAGCAACCTATGAACCGGTTTTAAGATCAGAAGTTAAGTTCTAGTGATGGAAAATTTCCCAACGCTCAGATGCGAACTGGTGTGTAATTCAGTTGGATTTACCCGTTTATTGGAACTATTCCTAATTGAGATGCTTTTGTGATAGTGCTGCAGGCAAAGTGCAAACAAATTCTCTGAGGACCTTCAAGTAAATAGTTGAGATATTCGCTAATCAAAAAGATATTTGACACTTTATGTAATTATAAATGGAAAAGATAATCATTTATCTGAAACAGTCTGTTGACATACTTCGAAAATACCTGATTTGTACAGTCTACACCTTAAACATGTTTGATGATTGAATAAATTCAGAGTGAGTCCATCGTGTAACAACCGGTGATTTGAAAACTCACATATAGGGGTGTACCGTGTGAATCACATTACCAGATCGATACGAATGATCGATCACGGCTGAGTTCCGCTTTCCGGTGATTTGTCGCTAAAATTACTTCTGAGATAAGGTGATACGGGTGTGACCGACTACCAACTACAAAAGTTACGACAATAGGTAGTAAAATGATATTTATTTATTAGAAGAAAAATAACAGAGAGAACGGAATACCTATTGGAGCACACCCACCTGGTTCGTTCGTCATTCGTCATATATCACCGCGCCAAATTGCCTTGGTACTTTGAGCAATACAACGATATAATTTTCAGATTCTCTTAGAGTGTTTATCGCTCTCTTCCATCAAGACCCAATTGGACATCCAGATTGGGGGTATACTGCTAAATCATTTGTCTAGTTCACCCATCTTTTTCATCCAAATCCCAATATGAGAACATCGCATTTGACATAGATTCGTTTAATCTATCTCCCGTTCAGGTGCTATTTGCAATCCTCAATTAATAAATACATTCGTATGTGTGAAACAATTGCACAATAAAGTTTTCTCTTCCTCATACCTAAACCACGTATGGTGAAATACCTGGTCCATAGATTCCTCCAAGTAAGTAGCTGAAATATCATGTTTCACAAAGGAATTGCGTACTAAGATGTCTGGTACTTTAGTGCTTTCGGGTAAAATATCATTTGAAATTGACTTTCTGCAATAGATATCAGTTAGTAATATATTTTCTGTCAACTTCAATCCTTCGATCGATGAGTTCTAGTACCGCATAATTCAGCTTATTTAAAATGACGCATTCAACAGAGACGGAAAAATTATTATACACCAAACGAACCAGCAACACACACATTAGCCATTCTGAAAACAAATTAGGTCTATTCTACTGGTTCAGTGCGAAGCATATGATGATTAGTCTGATAGCATCAGATAGACTGCGCCCATCTTTGATTGCAGCTCCAAATTTGCAGGCAACAACAACAACGATTAGGCGAAGGTTCTGGCTGTAAATCCCCTAGGTCACTTGATTGAGTTTGGGAAAACTGAAAGTTTTGCGCCCATTAGGAAAAAAGCATCTACTTAATTGTTAGTTATGAATATACATATATATCAGGAAGTAAGTAGATCGGAGGTAATTCTTTCGTAGCAAAAAACCAATAAAATCTATTGTTGAAAGACAATGAATAACATGCATCTGTTTGATTACAAAGTAGTATCCAATTTAGATTAGAAAAATGATGGCACACACTTAATAGCTCAGAAGCACCATATATCCCCGAAAATTGTGCTAGTTGTTGCTAAAGTGCTTACGTATCTATCTGCTTATCTAGCTATCTTTTCATACCCATATAACTATCCATCCATTCATTCATCCAACCAACCACTAACTATCTGTTTGTATTACTACATGAGGACTGCAATACTAGAATCTCAGAGACGGAATGTATGTGCAGCACTAAATTAACCGAGGTCAAGACACAAGCTGATTCGCTGTTTCCGTTCACTAAAGATATTGAGAATTAGCATCTTTAATCATTTTAGTCCTACCACATGAGGGTACAAGCTCGATCCCCATAACAGTTGAAGGGTGAATACTGACTATTAAAAAAACCTAACAAGATGGGAATTGTTATGCAGTGATAGTTAGCTTACCACGTTTATTTTTATTTTCAGTCTAATTCTCTTCTTGTGATTTACGTTCTACAATGTACTTTCCAAGTAAGGGGTATTTTTCTATGCTATTTTAAAATCGAATCACCGCTAAGCATTCAGTGCCTTTGTTGGGGACTCGAAAGATGAATACTTGATTCCAGTTCATCGTTAATACTTTGAATTGCTTACATCAACTAGTATAGTAGAGTTGTGCACATTTGGGTATACCTTGCGAAAAGGAATATTCCGGTGGCTGCAAAGTACCGGGCTCTATTTGTAGCACACTTGCACATGACATATGAATGAAATGAATTCCCTGAAAAATCAAGTATAACGTCGCTATGCTCAACATGCAAAGTAATACGGAGTTTGGAGGGAATCTAGTAGTTCTTCGCGAAATGAACAACGTAATTGCTACCTTTTGTGTTCTTGTGTCTTGCATTCTAAGATCGCTAGATAATACACGTCTTCTGTCAAGTCTACGCTCACTTTTGCCCTAGGTCACAACAGATCACCCAGTTTCGGCCCATTCATGAAAGCATATATGACCCTTCTGGAGGTCATAACAAACCTGCTAGTATTTTACTCCTCCGGTACAACCACCTAATTGAGCACTTGATAATTTCAAAAAGATACGTCACTCGTATCAGTCCAGACGAAGGTGTATTCTATCTTTCTTTTTGTAGGGTGCATTGGACATTTTTCTGTTAAGTACATAGCATCGATTTCAATTCAATTCCCAGGGAGAATCTCACATGAACATTTAGAACTACACTATTAACCCAATTAGGAAAAGGACTGTCTCTAAGTGGAATGGAGTAGGGCACAAAAACATGTGACATCAGCTTCACAGTTTTGATGCAATATAATTTCACAGCGATATAAAAAAGTACCTTAAAAATAAATATATCCAAACATCGTATTCACACTTAGACTTGAGGATTGGTATAAAATCAAATTTGATTCAATTCTCACTATTCAGTAGCCGATCGATGTGACCTTATTCAAAAGCTGAAGATTCTCCGATCTCTCCGGTACCATTACGAGATTTTCTCCACCGTTATAGCTTCTCTCATCCCGACAACCACGTAGAACATGTCAGCCCTTGTTCAACATAGCAGGTGTTTTCGTGGAAATTTTGTTACACGCGTTGTGCTTCGAAACTTGGTGTACACAAGTTGGAACAAGATTAAACGATCTGTCCGTTTCGCTTTTCTGATCCACTCTTGCGCGCTCGTGCACGCGGTGAGACGAAAACCTGCAACGATTGTTCATTGTCTACCACACCCTCTCACAATTAACTCTGTGGCAATCGAAAAGCAGTAATCCTATGTGTTCCCACACCCCGGGTGATCACAGCACATTGTGGCACCAAAATTCTTACGAAATTGGTATAATAAAAACAAAAGGAATTAGAAAAACCCCAGACAATCACAGTGGTAGAGCACTGTCCAAGTTCTTTTGCCGCCAGAAATAACGTTATGTGCTCCCAATAGGTACGACAGAGAGGAGAGACCGAGAACAAGTGTTACCGGGATCCATAGGAATTAAAAGTATAATGTAAATGAGCAAATGTAAAAATCAATAGGAGGATAGGTGGTGGAGACAAGGAGGGCAGAAATGAAGGTGTATATCGATTACTCTTTAAGAAATATGAAATGCCCCACCCAAAAGTAGACTGTCCGTAACAGAAGGGAGTCGCGGGGTTCATTTAATCCGATACGGGAACCGTTTGAAAGGAGACACTCCAATGACGATTGAAGTGAACCGCGAAGTATGTGTGAGCGTCTGTGGATGAGTGAGTGAGTGAGTGAGTGTAACGTTGATATTTTACCGGCCGAGTTGGTCATGCGTGGACATGAAACACGATGACCCGGTTGACAGGTCTGCACCAGACTGTCACCAGATCAGACCTGTATGCCTCACATAATCACTATCTGTTCAACTCGGTTCCAATGTTGATAAGATGAGGTAACAGTAAATGGGTCTCCCTCTAAGGTGTCTCCTCTGATCAGGCTAGCCAAGATGCCCTATCCCAAACACTGTCAATCTTACATCATCGCATTTGACTCACAGTTACTTGTGAATAGTTTGTGTGGGATAATTGATATTAATTGATTTGATTGACTATTCTTCGCACTCCACCTTCACGCACAATCCTCAGTTCATCGATTCAACCATACACTCGGAAGCACTAGACTCGAATTTCGCTCTTATTGGAGGTCATCAGTAGTGCATATACACCGTCCCGTCCGGGATTTGAACTCCGGACCCAAACGTGTGTATTACCTCTGTGCCAAACAGCTCATGCCATGGCTGAACCCAATTGCCAATTCATGTTTGTTCAGATGTTATCTTCAGTGATAGTTGGAAATATTTCTTATTAAATAAACCATATTTTGGTACAACCTTCCCCGAAACGAATTTTACGGGGCACGAAAATACTGAATGAACTGATTCAGCGGTAATTTTATTAGTGTAGGAAATCTGAATGCCCTGTCATGTTTTGTGATCAACGTTTTCACGCTGTTCGATATCAGTACATTCCGCACACGGAAGTTCGATTGCACCTCCCAAGTCAGGCACACACTGCAATCCGAGACGAGATAGTTGTCCGTGATTATCTCGACGCACACAAGCGCGCTCACACATATTTCGAACTTATGCAATTCAACGATACTGTGAAAACTCAACCATTTGCCCGAAAAACAAAAACACCTGTTCTCGTAAACTAGTCACACCACAACTGGTGCACTGGATTTGTGACAGGATTTTTGTTTAACCAACAAAGAGTACTGAATCTGGGGCC